CAACAGTGAATAAGGGTTCCAGTTTCTCCACAACCTCGCCAGCATCTAAATTTATTTCAGTTGCTTCCTATGCATGTGAAAGCTGGACAGAGAATAAGGAATACCAAAGAAGAATCAGTGCCTTTGAATCTATGGCATTGTTGTTGTTATGTGCCATCAAGTCGTTTGCTACTCATAGTGACCCTATGTATAAGAGCCCTAAATGCCGTTTTATCTTCTGCCAACCTCGCTGTCTCAAACACATTCATTCCCACCACTCCACTCGCAGAATCGATCCATCTCATCGAGGGTCTTCCTCTCCTGCACCGTCCCTCCACTCTGCCAAACATGATGTCCCTCTCCAAGGACCAGTCCCTCCTTGCAAAGTATATCAGACGAACCTTCAGAATCCTTGACTTCAGGGAACATTCTGGCTTCACCCTCTCCAGGACAAACCTGTTTGTTCTCCTAGCAGTCCATGGTATATTCAGCACTCCACCACCACAACTCAAAGGCATCAATTCTCTTTCTATCATTCCTATTCACTGTCCAACTCTCTGATGCATAACATGTAATTGCAAAGACTGTAGCCTGGATCAGGTGCACCTTAGTCTCCAGCCTGACATTGCTGCACTTCACTACTCTTGAGAGGTTCCTCACAGCTGACTTTCCCAGTGCAATTCGTCTCCTGATTTCATGGCTGCTGTTACCAAGAGTGTTGACTGTGGAGCCAAGCAAACCAAAACTGTTAACTATCTCAATCTCTTCACCATCCATACTGATGCTGCCAATTGGCCCAGTGGTGAGAATCTGTTTTCTTGATATTGAGCTTCAATCCATATTGAAGACTACAGTCTTTGACCTTCTGCAGCAAGTGCTTCAAGTCCTCCTCAGTTTCAGCAAGCAGGGTTGTGTCATCTGCATAACACATGTTGTTGACGATTCTAACACCAATCCTGATGCCACATTCCTCCTCATACAGCCCAGCATCTCGAATGATCTGTTCTGCATACAGATTCAAAAGGTATGGAGACAAAACACATCCCTGATGGACCCTTTTCTTGATTTTGAACCATCCAGTGTCTCCCTGCTCTGTTCTGATGACTGCCTCTTGGTCCAAGTATAGGTTTCGCATTAGCACAATCAAATGTTCTGGGATTCCCATTCTTCTCAGAGTCAGCCACACCTTGTTGTGATCCACAGTCAAAAGCCTTTGTATAGTCAATGAAGCACAGATAGATATTCTTCTGGTATTCCTTGCTTTCTGCCAAGATCCATCTTACATTAGCTATAATATCCCTAGTACCATGACCTCTTCTAAATCCAGCCTGCATATCTGGCAGTTCTCTGTTGACATATTGTTCCAAATGTTTTTGTATAATTTTCAGCAGAATCTTGCTTGCATGTGATATCAATGATATTGTTCGATAATTTCCACACTCTGTTAGGTCACCTTTCTTTGGAATGGGAACAAATATTGATCTCTTCCAGTCAGTTGGGCGGCATTAGAGAAGGGAATTATTAGAATATGGATCCCACTGGCTATGAAGAAAACAAACAAGTCTGTCTTGGGGGACGGCACCAGACAGGGCAAGATTCTGATCTGTTCTTCACAGGGTCACTGTGAGTCATAGTTAACTCGACGGCACCTAACAAAAAGTTTTCTTTTTAGCTGTTATGTTGAAAAGTTGAAGTAAGGACTTAAAATTTACTTAATGGGAAAATTATAAAAAATCTTCTTTACAAAATCAGGCTATGCTGAATTAACTTAGAGATCCACTCTTGTTGTGTACTGTCGAGTTGAATACGACTCGTAGCAACCCTATGAACAATAGATCTGACCCTGTCCTATCTTGTGCCGTCATCACTACCTCTGATATTCTTGGTCCCATTGTTGTAGTCATTGTGTCAGTGCATCTGATTAAGGGTCTTCTTCTCTTTTGCCAGCACTCCATCTTTCTAGCATGATGTCCTACAAGGAATAGCCTTTCAGAGCAACATGCCCAGAGTATATGAGAAGAACCTTCATCATCTTTCTCACCAGGGAGCACTGTGGCTGCACCTTCTATAAGACGTATCTCTTTGTTCTTTTGACAGTCCGTGGAATATTCAATACTCTTCTCCAATTTTGCCACAGTTCAAAGGCATCAATTCTTCTATCATATTTGTTCATTGTCCAGCTTTCAGATGCATAAGAAGGGATTGAAAAGACTCTGGCCTGAGGCAGGTGCACCTTAGTCCTCAAACTAACATCATTGCTCCTCAGTAATTTGGAGAGGTCTCTGACTGCACACTTTCCCAGTGCAGTACATGTCCTGATCTCCTTACTCCTGGTACCAAATGTATTGATTGTGGATCTAAATAGGGTGAAGTCATTGACAGTTTGTCTTCTATCTACCATGATGTTGCCTGTCTGTCCGGTGGTGAGAGCTCCAGTGATTGTCATGAAAAGTGCTTTGGAAACGAAATTATTAACAAGTATAACATGATGACATTGTTAATCTGTGTCAGGTGGTAAGTACATTTCAGTCTTGGGTCCTTTTTACCTTCCACTAAGGCATTGTGAACAAAGTGGAGAGAGGCTGCCCTTTTTATCTCCTCCTTTGGGGAAAAGGTATAGCAGTGATTGGGAGGTGACTAACAAAATACATTTTGTTTTTTAGGGAAAGAATATGGCAAAGCAGATGCCAGATGGCTTTATTTTGACCCAAACATTGTGGCTGTGGAACTTATAACTGTATTTCTGGATGGATCTCTGGCATTGCTCCTCATTTATGCAATAGTAAAAGAGAAGTATTATCGGTAAGTACCCTTCTCCTGTCTTACAAAGGGAGGAGAAATATTTATTGTCCCTGTGCCTAAGTGACATTTGCAGTAGGTTGTGACCACATTTGTTAGATAAAATGTAGAGTAGAAATGAAAATTGTTTGCTATTGGATAAAGGTCATGATGCCACCAGGATAGTTTCAGCTCTTCAAAATAAAAATATGAGAAATACAGTTTTAGTAAAAACCCATGTATGGCCATTAAGTTGACACATACTGATCCAGTAAGATACCCCATAGGGTTCCCAAAGCTGCAGTCTTTATGGGTCAACTACCATATTTTTCCTATAACGGCCATGGGCTTAACCACTGTGCTTCTAGGGTTCCCTTTAGTAATAACAGCGCAGGATCATTTAACATTAGTGAATCCTTAAAGGCGTGCCCATGCGTGCATGCACCCACAAACACACACAATGTGCTTGACTGCTACCATATAGGTTGGAGTTTTGAGTCTGCCCACCAATGCCTTGTAAGAAAGCCCTAGTAATTGACTTCCCCAGAATGAGCCATTGAAAATCCCCATGACTACAATTCTACCCAGACGTGCCTGGAGTCACCACGACTCAGAGTTTACTTGATAGCAACTAATGGTGTTTTAGAAAATCATAGTATTTCCAATCTGTTCCCCCAAAAAATAACTCTAGAAAATTTCTACTCCATTAAGCACAAGGTACATTTTATCAGATGGGTAGAGTTCTTCAAGAAAGCCATGGGCCTTGGTGGGTCAGGTGGACTTGCCCTGGAAGGAGCAACACCAGAAGGCAAAGGCCCGCCTTCAGGAAGGTCTCCGTGCTGAGAATATTAATGCTGCTGTTACAGAAGCCGTCTCATTTCATATGCCGAGCTGTGCCAAGCTGGTATCTCATCTCCTTTTTCTTACTCTCTACCAGACACTTCCTACAGGTCACCTTGTGCGTGTGTGAACTGTATGGCGGGTGGATGACCTTCTCCCCGGACTGGCTCGTGGGAAGCCCCAACCTCAACACCAAAAACTGGCTCTACTTTTGGGTATATCTGGTGTTTTTTAATGGTGTGTGGGTCCTGGTGCCAACACTGTTACTGTGTCAGTCATGGACAGGACTCAAGAAAGTATATCACAAGGATTTTCATTCAGGGAAGAAGTTTCGGTGAATTTCCAAAATCATGAACACTGTGATCTTTCTTTCTGAGCGAGAATGAATCTTGCCTTTTCATTGGGCCAAAATGTAGTACATTCCAGGTTATTCTTCCTGTTGAGTTCCTGAATGACCGATTGCCAATTGAATGTGATGTGGTGACTTTTTATATATCTTTATTTTTTTTTCTAGTATGGAAATATCAGTGAGGGATCCATTTTAACATGTAACAATAACACGTTTAATTGTACATTTTTATGGCTGTCATTGTCCTTCACTAATAAAGATATTTTATTCTAGAATACTTGATACTCTTAGATTAACTTTTTTTATTCTAAAGAACTTGTGTTGGCTTCATTTGTTAATGTTCTCACTGGGCTTTTAGTCACTATAGTGAAATTAGAAGTCAAAGAAATTATAATATGTTATATTTCTGCTTTTTCATCCTTGTGAATCTAAGCAAAAATGATTCCAGCAGGAACTCAGGAGGGAACCGATGTTCCTAGGTAAACGGTTTGGCCTTCACATAGTTGATGATGATTTAGTCCTTTTTCTTTTCTTTTTTTGGTGAGAAAATTTGTAGTTAGAATTAGCCAGCTGGACTCAAGTTTAGATGATCCCAGTTTTGTTGGGAACACCCAAAGGATCATAGTCAGAAGCCAGCTGAAAATAGGCCTTCTTCTCTCCATCAGGTCTAATCAAAGTGTTGACCTTGGCCACATCAAGCCTGTTTGATTTGGTGCTTGTTGGCCTTGCCATCCACAATGAACACTAGTGTGTTGTTATCTTCTATCTTCTTCATGGCTGACTCAGGGGTCAGTGGAAACTTGATGATGGCATAGTGGTCAAGCTTGTTTCTTCTGAGGGCACTCTTCTGGAGGTATTTGGGCTGCCTTTGGAGTCTAAGCATCTTAGGCCGCCAGAAGGTGGGTGACGTGCGGATCTTCTTTTTTTGTGGCTGTGGATGACCTTCAGGATGCCTTCTTGGCCTTTAATGCCTTTGCTTTGGCTTCAGTTTTGGGAGGGGCAGGGGCTTCCTTCTTCGCTTTTGGCGCCATCTTTGTAGAAAGCTGTACTTGTCCTTTTTCAAGGAGAAAGACTTGAGAAATCTTAGAGGACATTGTAATGTATATGAAAGGCAAAGCAAGAACACAAGGAAAATAAGGATCAGAACTAATCAGATAAAAGTAAGTATAGAGTAGAGGTTAGTGGGTGGAAGGGAGGTGAAGGAACAGGGAAGATTCCATGGGACCTTGAATGATAGGGTGATAACAGGCATATATCAATGTTGTTGTTGTTGTT